GGTCTGTCTGTCTGTCTGTCTGTCTGTCTGTCTGTCTGTCTGTCTGTCTGTCTGTCAGGGTGTGCCTCTGTTGACTAGTACGACTTTTTTACCTTTATCCTGTGAGCGTGCATGTGTGTGTGTGCATGTGTGTGTGTCTGTGTGTGTATATGTGTGTATGTGAGTGTGTATATGTGTGTATGTGTGTGTGTACGTGTGTGTGTGAGTGTGTGTGTGTGTGTGTGTGTGTTTGTGTGTGTGTGTGTATGTATGTGTGAGCATGCGTGTGTGTGCGTGTGTATATGTAAGTGCGTTTGTGTGTGTGTATGTGTGTGTATATGTTTGTGTGCATGTGTGTATTTGTGTACGTGTGTGCGTATGTATGTGTGTGTATTTATACGTATGAGTGTATGTATGTATGTAAAGTGGTGGCACAGAATTCCCCACGTCGTATGGATAGTAAAACACGACGTACGAATGTGGTTAAGAGACGAGGCCTACGGTGTAAAGTCCATCTTAGCGATATGGGTGCGAGGCTTTCAGTTAGAGACTCAAGCTCAAAATAATTCCATTGGGGTTTGAACCAGAATAATCTGCATTGTAGTTCAGAATGATACCTACTGACTGAATTAACAGTGCGCGAAAGTAAATGTTTTTCTTTTTGTCAGAATTTGGATAGGGACAATTTTGACTGATTAGAGGTGTTACTCTCTTGTAACACCTCTAATCTTCGGTCTTATTATGTTGCAAGTGCCGTAAAACTTTTGCTGAAACAAGAAATGCTGAATCAATAACGACCCGAACACAAAGGATACTGTGAGTCAAAAACTACAAGGGGAGGCAAGGATGTTAAGTGGTCAATGCTCAGCAGGTTGGCAGCTAGACATGTTTGTACAGCTAGTTATATTTGCTCATTGACCAGTCTGTCTGTCTGTTTCTGCGTGTGTCTGTCTGTCAGTCTTTCTGTCTGTCTGTCTGTCTGTCTTTCTGTCAGTCTGTCTGTCTCAGCCTGTCTGTCTGACTGTCTCTCTGTCTCTGTCTCTGTCCTTGTCATTGTCTCTGTCTCTCTGTCTCTCTGTCTCTCTCTGTCTCTGTGTCTCTGACTGTCTGTCTGTCTGTCTGTCTGTCTGTCTGTCTGTCTGTCTGTCTCTCTCTCT